CTGGACGCCCCTCGAGATTACAGTAGATAACACTGTTCTCGTTAAACCAGGGGTGGAACAAGGTACATGGCTTTGGGAGCAGTCAAAAGTGCTTTTTTGTAGCAGGCTTGGAGCACCGAGAAGGGCCTTTTTGAGAAAGTTTAGAGCAGGAAGAGCATGCAGAGATAGTAGAGTCCGACGGAATCCAGCCTGGTCTTGGACAAACATGGTATAAAAAAAAACGCCGACCAAGGTAAAGTACACAAAATTAAAAAGCTCTTTCGGCTACCTACACGGGAGCCTCTTTCACAATAACTACAAATTGCATAGTGTGCTCTTCTTACACGGGGGTCTTGTTCACAATAACTGCAAATGACATAGTGCACTCTTTGCCCACTTGTGAAACAACAATTGTTCAATGCTGCACTTTTGAAACACTCAGCTAAATTGTTGCGATAAAACTTATATGAACACTCCCAGTGGGTTTTCACCAGTGCTGTCATGCCCCGTATAAATTACGAATTGACAACATACCGCTGCGCATCCTATGTTCTATCTGCCTGGGTAAAAGCGCGAGTAAAGACGAACTCGGTTGAAGCATAGATCAAACGATCCGGCCCTTTGCGGCGCTCGGAGGGTGCATGCGATAAAATCAAATACTCCTGCCACCTGTAGCCGAAGCAAAGAAGTGCTCCATCCACTCGTCTTGGAATAGCATGAAAAAAACTAGGAAAGGAGGGGGGGGGGGTGTCCCTCGAGCAACAACTATGAGGTCCATTCGTTTCATCTGTACTTCGTGAACCGGTTCACGGAGGCGCTACACTTCGGCATAGATTTTATGTGTTCAAGGCGGCAGCGGCACCGCAGTATTCGTTTAGAATAAAGTGCAGATGTCGTGCAAGGCTAGTTTGCAAGGCTAGGTCCCGAATTCCCTGCACTTGCTCGTGAGGTAGTGCAGAGTCTGTGTAGCACAAGATGGCTGCAGCTGCAATAGACGACTGAGCCGATTGCATTCGTGTCGTTTTTTTTCAGCGACGTGCAACAAGTACGACAGTGAACCTTTTCCGGTAGACACATATGCAAAAAAATGTAAGCGGCACCGTCTTTTACCAATCACAGCCTCCACAACCACCGATAAAGCCAACAAGAAGCATAGGGCTTGCACAACATGTGCACTCTCGTATTCATTTCCACTTTTTGTCGCTGCTGCACTTGCCCAGACGTCACCTGAATGAAGACAACACCCAGACGGACGTCGAACTAGTTCTGGAAGTGCACGGTGAATCGAATGGACCTATGAACTTTGCTTCGAAGCGCGCGCTCATGATCCTAGGCACGCACGCTATCTCGGCAGCAATCGTCTAGAGGGTGGCTCGCATATAATTCTGCATTCTGAATTATCATACTCTTATCAGGAAGTGATTGTGCGAAAGTGTTGCTCTCCTTGAAGCGGCCGTATTCTAGTACACCAGCGTTTCGTACAGTTACGCGAGATCAGATTCAAAAGAGATGTCGGCCTAACTTTGCATAGCACTACAATTTGCTATTACATTCATAGCTTCTATCTTATGATGGAACTTTGACTTTCTTTAGGTACAGCTACCTTTTTTTTCTATCCGAACACACGAGCGTCAACCATTGAGTTGATAAACATGAAGCGCAGCGGCCAAATGAATGAGAATACGCGCAGGCGCTCGATCAGCAATCATATGCACCGGTCTGTGCTAGGCTGTTCCGGGAACTGGACCTTCCTCTTCCTTTGAGCACCATCACTGCCATCCTTTTTTTTTTTCCTCCGAAAGCTGCTATGAAATCAAAAATCACAGCATATCCACGGAATGAATGATGATGAGTGAGGCAAAGCGTCCATTCATCTATGCATCTGTACGCATATGCATCCATCTGACCATGCATGCATCCGCTCGCCTGTGCGTGCGTCAATTCTGTCTGTCTGTCTGGCGACGAGCACAAGCCTCCGCGGCCCACCACTTTGTTCATGCCCCACCAACGATACCACACACAGTGACAATCCAGGAGACAGAGACTCACTCATTCTCTGCGCACTCAGGCACAGCCCGCACAGCAGCCAACCACAGAGAAAAGCAGTACAGCACCATCTAGAATATCTTCACTCAACTGCAGTTTGTATGTACTTCTATCAGTCGGTGCCTTTCATTATACTATTCGGGACATGCTGCCGGTTATGCCTCACGCGGGACAAGGTTATGGCGAATTCCATCAGGAGAGCAGGAGCTCTCAAAAGCACGCCGAAAGTGCTTTCTTAAGAGCCGGCATGTTTCAGTGGTCAAACAGGTGCAGATGCACTGTCATCCATTGGTAGAGTGAGAGTGCTTTTGCTGTGCCAAGAGAAGTTTGTAGTGCTCTCGCCTGAAAAGCAGAGTAGGCGCTGTACGAGTCGCGTGGCCCTTGAACGTCACAGTCTCTGAATTTTTCTTCAGCCGGCAAGTGCAACGGCAACGGTAGCAACCATGTGTAGTTTGACACCCCTGTTTTGTACGGGTGGCTACGATGGCAGCTTGGCATCTGCCGAATGCATCATTGCAAAAACAGACTACGTATTAGGCTAATGAAGAGCGTGCGGCTGACCGGCTTCATGTTTATTTTGCTGCTGCCCCACAGATAATATGCTGGAGCTTGGAATGTCTCGATCATATGGTCTCCCCACTCATCACTCCTTCACCTGCCCTCCGGGAGCACGCCGCATTCCAGTGGCAGGTTGAGTGGCCCTGCTCTCAGTGCTCTGCCCCCCCACTGCCCTGCCCTTGTACTCCTGTTCTCGAAATGAAATTCACCATAATGGTGAATGGCTCCACTTATTCTAATGGCATTAGATTCAGAGGAGCTTCACTTCCAAAATAGTTTCACTGGAATGGTGAAGCAACGACTGCAATAGCAACAAATTGTAAGACTGGCGGCCAACTCTTTCATATCAGATAGCGCGTAACTACAAAACGCTGGTGTAAGAAAACACAGCCATGATAGCGCGTAACTACAAAACACTGGTGTAAGAAAACACAGCCATGCCAAAGAGATGCTATTCTCATAATTTCTTCACGTTGAAAGCTTCGCACATAAACGGTTTCACGAGCCATTCGCTGTTATGCCTACTGTGATTGCGCGCGCATAGAGATCACAACCACGCCTTAAGGATCAGTTTACAGCTGCTCGTTGAAAGCGTTGCACGTAAACGAGTTCACAGGCCATTCGTGATGATGCCTACTGTGATCGCTTGTGCACAGAGATAGCAACCACACCCTAAGGATCAGTTTACAGCTGCTCCTAGGGCGATCCATAGCATGTACAAAACCAAAACTATTGCCCTTTTGAGGAAACCAAAAAGAGGTTTCAGCAGTTCATCTTCTGCACCTTCTCACAGTACACTGCACCCCGCTCCTGAATTTTCAAAAGTACAGCAGTGACCCCTGCACCACCTTCAACCATTATACATGGTGTGGGTTAGGTGCCACCGTGGTGCAACGAACCTTTGCACCTTCTAGTGCGAGGGTGCAGCATTTTGGCGATCGCGTGCGAAAAGAATGTGCGCGGCAACAGACACTGAGAAATGCCTATGATCACAGACATTGACGGAGAACCGACTGAACTTTTTCCAATTGTGGATGGTCTTGGCGTGATAGTCTTAAACGCCGACGCCGAAGTCTACGCTACTGCAGGTAATTGTGCAGACGTGATAGCATTCTTGAGAAGTCCACTCAGATGCACGACGGCTACATTTCTTCGTTATCCGTCTTTTTTCTTTCAGATAGTAGAACATTGCGGGTTGAATGCGCATGCCAACTTGCCACCACTGACTCGACAAACTGGCATGCTACGCCTACAACCGCACAATGCCGCAAGACCACGCGATACCGACGGCCCAAGCGGCTACTGCAGCAGCTGCTGTGCTTCGTCACAGCGCTAATTAAAATACTGCACGTCGCAACGACCTGGACAAAGTGCCGTGGAGCGGAAGAAAGAAGAGGTTTCTTAATGATAAACATAAAGAGAATTTCGGCAACATTGGCATAAAGAGGCCCGAGCTCGTGTCGAAATAACAGACCACAACTTCCTCGTAGTACCTAGGTGTGCAAGTACGATGGCTGACACCAGTTGAGCACAGATTTGACACAACACTGCGTCCAGTTCCCAGTCTTCGCTGTCGGATTCAGCTATTTCCATAGCAATGTGGAATTTCTCCATGCTGACAAATAAGGAGCGGCCAATCTGTGGGTGCACAATACACACGACGACCTAAATAGCCAAGCAGCAGACGACAGGAGTTCCCTGCTTGCACCTCAACATTCAACACTAAGCGGTGGCGCTGCTGATGCGTTGCATTTGCATCCCGAAGTGGGTGCCGAGACACCTAGCTACACCTGCTGGACCAGGTGTCGGCACCGGCTGCACCTTTTTGTATGCAGTGCCCTGCACTTTTTTTTTAATCGAATAGACCTATTATCAGCATAGCGCAGGAAATCGGATTTGGCACTTTGGCGCAGTTGGCGAAGGAGTGGGATCACTGCTATTGACATTCCAGATCACAAGATTTTTTTTTCATAAAGGTGGCGACATACCTTACGCATACTATCACAATGCAGCCATACGGAGCCATGATAAATTGGCAGGAAGCATTTACATCCATTAAACGTAGTATCTATGTACAGATGGCTGAGAACTTATGTGAAATGTGTACTAGGACAGTGCACTGATACCACTACGGTAACCTGCGGCTTATTGTGTACTCCAAGTAGATGTGCAGCAATATGACTGCCGAGTGCTGCAATTCACTAACATGTAATGCACAACACTCAGCTTTCATTGCCCTTCTGTCCTCTACGACTTCCCAGGGTCATCTTTGGAGTCATCGGAGCAGTACGATTCACTCGTTTCTGTGGAAGGCAGAGTGCATTACTGCCGACAGTGTACTTATAAGGCAAATGACAAGATTCACATGAGGAGGCACATTCGAAAACACACTGGAAAGCGACCCTTCCAGTACAAACCTGCGGCCGTCTGCTTTCGCTGCAATCTTGGACTCGCATGCGCACTCACACAGGAGAGCGTCCCTTTTCTTGTGCAAACTGCAGGGCGACCTATACACAGAAACAGAACCTCAATTACCCCATGCCTGCACCCGGGCAAGCGACCCTTCCAGTACAAACCTGTGGCCGTCTGCTTTTGCTGTAAGCTGCAATCTTGGACTCGCATGCGCACTCACACAGGAGAGCGTCCCTTTTCTTGTGCCAACTGCAGGGCCACCTATACACAGAAACAGAACTTCATTTACCACATGCCTACATGTTGTGCGAACTAGAAAGGCTAAAGGTGAGAGAAAAACAGGGTTTTTCCGAAAGAAGAGAGCTGCGGAACAGTGTAGACAGTTGATTAGAGGTCATAGGTCATAGCAAGGTAACAATTCAGGATAGCAGGGACCGACAAGTGGTCAAAACGTGTGATAGACCCTGAAACATAGGGATATTCCAGCATTCTTGTTGCCTTGCGAGTAGGATTCATGTTATTAAATAGTGCTGAAAAGTACCTAAAACTGGTATGTTCTCTGAGACCATTGCACAGATACGATTACATTTATTTTGTACAATCAATGAACTAGCCAAACTTCCCTTCACATCCAGCTTACCAAGACATATTCAGAGGAATATCCTTAGCTGCACCTTGAACAAACTAAGCAATAAACAATGCAGGGACAAATTTATTTTTTCGTCATAAGGCTTAAATACATGCCACAAAAGGGAGCACACGTTTCTTCGAGTCATGGTCATCGGCACTGCACTCGCCTATAATGGCGACGGCCTCCAGCACAGCCACTCCTCTGATCTTTGTAATGGTGCCAGAAGTTCTGTCAATCTAGTAAGATCATCTTGCATGCCATAGAAGAAGCAAAGCCTGTGAATGTCTACAGAAGCCATCCGAAATATTTTGAGTGGTAACTATGGGGGAAAAATGTGAGCAAGTAATGGGAGTTGCCAGTCAGCTATGGAAATACCATCGTCTGCCCCCCAAACGTTCACTGCCAGTTCAACTGAAGTGAACCTCTGTGCCATCAGTAATGCACCGTGTCTGCCGGTGCCCATTTGTTTCGACCACACTGTCATGCCTCTTCATTGTCCTTGGCACCCGCGCATATACGTATCCAGACAATTAGCCTTTTGGGCACTGTGTACTAGGCACTAAGCCATTTTAGCTCAAATGAGTTCTAGGCCACCATTTCAGACCCAAGCTGCAAGTTCTTCAAATTATACTTGAGGCAACAACTGTGAGATCTGCATATTTGATTACAAGACGTCAATGTCTATCAAGCCATCCGCTTTGCAGCGAGCACAGCTTGAAAAACACAATCTTCAGCCACTGCCCATCTCCAAGTAGACAAAGAAAAGATGAGATTTTAAACTATTTATTTGCTGCGTTAGCAGGTATAGTACTAGCAGAAAGGTTTAGTCTTCAAATTACGTGAAAAATACATGCTTACTTATGGCAGTGCCAAGAAGCCTACATCGCAAGAAGCTTTTGTCGGTTTCATTTATTTAGAGGTTCTGACCGACGTTATGACATATAGCATGTCGCAGCAAACACAACGTGAACAAAAAACATGAAACACGAAATACGTTCACAGGCGCCGACATAAGACATGATTCGGAATGCTGAAGAGAGTTCATTTGTCACTCCGCATGTTCTACGTGCTTTGTTCCACAACCTGCAGCGTGTTGTGCATATGAAGGGAATGTCCGCACGAAGACTGGCAAGGGCAGCGTAGGAGTTCTAAAACTGCAATAATGCCGCAACCAAGTAAAAAACCATGTGACCAAAACCACTCCTGCTCCAACGTGACAGCGCAACAATGCACACCATCTAGCTTTCCTGAGAAACCAAAGTGAATGCAAAACTTTAGGGCAATACTGTGGGACATGCGAACATTTTAATGTAAATCCAAACGACAATATGCCAAATATCACTTTTAATAGTGCCTGAATAAAAACATTCCTTATTTATTATTGATGTGAAGATGTGCGCAGATATTTCTGGATGATTGTGGCACAAAAATTAATACCCCGTCACACAAAATACAAGTAAAAACAATAACAATGCATGCAACCCTGACATCAGAAAAGAAATATGTTGTAAAGGATGCAGTGCTTCCCACTTTGGATTCCCAGATAAAATTGTCCTTTGCCTATCGACATAATGGCTAATTAATTACGTGGTAACTGGTAATCTAAACCGCAGTTGCCGATCATTGGCCAATGCACTGACAGCACGACTGAAAAAAGCATGGCCTACATACGAAACGTCCACAGCATGGTCGCAAAGGCGGCGAACTTCAAATTTCACTTAGAAGTTGGCCCTTGCCCGCTATTTTGGCTGCTGTAACAATATACAATATGATTACTGTTTGTTTAATCAATGCTACTCTCTGCATCCTCAGGCAGAGCAGAGTCCCAAATCTCTTTGAATGCTAACTCATTAATCGGCTTCCTATGCACTAGCTTCTGTTCCTTTCAAGACCAGGCAAACTCAACGTTTCACCAACCTATGGTCACTACATCGCGCTTTTTTGAGCACCCTATCCTGTACCAAAAATGCTGGAGTGAACATGAAGGAGGTTAAAAAAATTTTGCTCGAGGAAAAACTCCTGCAATGGCTCGCTAGCTAAAGCTGGAAGATTTAGAACAGCGCACCGCAAGTGCTTGCGGTTCGGTCGCGGCCACTATGCATGTCACTGCGAGCAGCCATTCGCGTTTGCAAATCGCCCGCAGAAAATCCGAAATAGTTGGCGGCGTGTGTGGCCCGCAAACGGTGGTTTCGGGGCTATGGTGTCACTGCGGTTTGCACGTATGATGCCCACCATGCCGGCAACGTCCGCAGCGCTTGCAGTAGCGAACGCGTGGGCGGCCCGTAAGCGCTGGTATCGAGGCTACTGTTTCTATGTGTTTGCACGTTGCGGTTTGAAGGAGGGCGAACGCTATTCTGAAACTCTTATGGTGCTTGTTATGCCGGCAACATCTGCAAACGTTATTTAAAATCTCAATAATCCGAAACAGCGTGCGGCGATCTCGGCCCGCGAAGTGCTGCAAGTCGTTTTCGTGCGTTAGGGTTTGCGGTCGGGGTGAAAGTCCCCAGACTTTTCCCAAGGGAAAGCAAACTATTTTAAATCTCATATGGTGCCCTTTATGCCCGCAGCACCTGCAAACATTATTCACCACCTAGCAGAATTCAGGAGCATCCTCACAAAGATGATCAGTAGGCAGACGCTTCCAATGATCCCTTGTTCGACGTTGCTAGCCGCACTCTTAACGCGTTCGTAAGAAACGAACACAACATTCTGTATGTTTCGTGAATTAGTAAATATACCGGATTGTCCGTGACACAATAAATCTGATTCGTTCTTGCGAGACGCAAAGTTTTTCTGAATATACAAGGCAACTTACGCTTTCGATTATAGCCCGTAGAAAACACATATCGTATTTGCGAAATTTTCTGCAGCCACTTTAAATAGTTAAATGTTATCGTCTGACTATGCCAGTTAATACTCTCCTAGTTTTTCGTGTGTATAGCATTCGTCAGCGCTTTTGTAGTGCAATGAATCCCATGACATTCACTGTACACATCAAGTAGCGCAGGCTTTTGATTTGCGTTTCTAAACCTTGGTCTACGCTGCGTCGCTTGTTTTTTACGTTCATTGATAGATGGCAGCACACTGCCAGCAATTCTTTTCTTGCAGTGTTTCATATTAAAAAGCCCTCAATCTACTCCCATAGGGCATGAATGACAGATTACTTGCGATGGGCATATATAATACAGCGTCGGGGCCCCTCGAAGCTCATCACAAAAACGAAGCGATTCGGCTCGCTTGTACTAAGGCAGGTCGTGCCACGCTAGAGGCCCTCAGCATAAATCCACATATGCAGGTCGCTGGAAAACTATCACTACCACAAGAATGGCAAAAGGAAGGCCATATTCGGCCTCCATCAGAAATGCAGCCGCCGCAGCCGGGATTTGATCCCGTGACCTGCAGGTCAGCAGCCGAGTACCTTAGCCGCTAGGCCACCCCGGCGGGGCAACAGGGGACAGGTCTTTGGTTGCATCTCAGCTAATGGAGTAGACATTAGTTCATGGAAGAAGCCAGTATAGCCTTGGCCATGCGTAACCCAAAAGCCACCTTTGTCCTCACGGATTCCCAGACGACGTATCGCAATTTCGCCAGAGGTCAAGACGGCCGGTTAGCACATTCGATTCTGCAACAGGCTGCGGCTCGTCGTCAAGAGGGTCAGTGGATACAATTGCTTTGGGTACCAGGGCACACAAGAGTTGGAGGCAATGAACGCGCTCATGCCTTCGTCCGAGATCTCTTACACCAGGCCTCTATTGCTTGATCCACAGCGCACCTTCTTGCTGACAAGGACGATCCCCAGCCCCTCCTTTCGTATGCTGACATCCTGCGACACATCAGGCTGAGTAGACGCACTCTATCCCCACCTGATCCTAAATTAGATAAGGCATCCTAGGTCGCGTGGAGACGACTACAATCATTAGCATTTCCAAATCCTTATGTATTGTCAAAGATGGACCCTTCGATGTACAACCCGCAGTGTAAATACTGTCCCCAGGCGGCCACTTTATTTCACATGGTCTGGGAGTGCCAAAATAATCCCAGTATATCAGACAATCCCAATCCTACATTAGCCGAGTAGGAGGTGACCCTGTCCAACTCTGACCCAGAGCAGCACAAGCCCTGGTCGACCGAGTTTGTTTGCGGCAAGCGACCATGGTCTTCTGGACCACGAGTTCCAACCACTAGAGCGACTTATTCCCCGTCTCTCTCGCAGTGTGTATTGCCCGCAGTCTCATGAAAATACGTGGCAACTCGCGCTTTCGTGAAAATACGTGGGAACTCATGCTTTTGATTATAGCCCGCAGAGTACACATCAGCTTCGCGAGATTTCCTGCAGCCACTTAGGATAGTTTACATGTTATCGGCAGACCATTCCAGTTAAAACTCGCCTTGTTTCACGTGCATATAGCATTCGACAGTGCTTTCGTCGTGCATGAATCTCATAACATTCATTGTTATGCGAAAATTAGCACAGGCTCGCGATTTGAATTTCTAAACCTGCTGCGTCGCTCGTTTTTTACATTCGTTGATAGATGGCAGAACACTGCAAGCAATTCCTTTTTTGCCGGGTATCGGAGTGAAATGATCTCCGCACCCTTAGATAAACGTGGTGAGTGACGCCGTGTGTGTA